CAGCCTGGTAATATCGGATGATCGATAATATCGAGAATATTCAGGTAATAATCATCGACGGTCGTGTGGCTATGCAAGAAGCAATAAACATTTGTTCCTCGGCTCGGTGGTAATATCATCGATTGAACCATCGTTAAGATTTCAGGATGAGCTTTAACAATTATTATTATGAAAAAATGTAGATGCAACAATGATAGTGTTATAATTTTGTATTATTATTAATACGCTAACATTACATAAAATTGAGAGATTTGCATCGAAAGAAGCTCTAAATAAAATATGTCCAGGTTAATTGTAAGATTTTTAGTAGAATTCAGAGCTCGAACTTCAAGTCTACTGTCCATTTCAATTACACACGAACAAAATAAGCATGCAAGAGTATGTCAAGAGTTATATCAAATTCTCTTTTAATCGGAACGTGATTACTTCGCATTAGTTAGGACGCTTGATTAAAGTGATTCTTACAATGAAGACGTAATCGTAATCGTATGCAAGTGTCAGATATTACAGTGAGTGTGACATTGTCAAATCAAATGACAACGAGAATCATGTATAAATGAAACACAATATTTTCCATCCTCATAAATCAACTCATAATTCGTTAATAATGTAAAATATTTCATTTCCAACATATAACTGTTTTAATTTGTTTAATAATTATAATTGAATTTAACGAACTATAGTGATGTATGAAGTATTGGACATTTTTAGAATGCACATTCATTTGACTTCAGAATTTTAATAGAACCACGTGAACGCTAATATTTCATACCTTTTACAATTTTTCGTTTTTCTCCCACCTACCAGAATATTTCATTTAGTGATCAATTTTGTTATAAATAAGCTACATCGTCATCAATTCGCAGGATGGAAGTATTCTGAATTCGTAGAAGATCGTGCGAACAAATGAATGGAAACTGCGTGAATTGCACAGCGTGATTAATGATTGTCAATGATTGTACGTTTCAACATTTATGTCCTGTTTGACAAATAATAATATCGCCATCGGGGATTACTCATTCTGGAGCGTTTCGAAGTATTAATATTTATGGCAGATGATGGTGCACTGCCACGCTGATGTCGTTTACTGAAATGAACAGCGGATAACTGATCACAAAATACAGTGGATGTAGTCTGTGCCTGACGCGTTGCGATTAATAAGTACGATTTATTTTAATGTATTCGATGCGACTGTAAGAGTTTACACGACCAATTCATTAGTTTTTACAAAGTCCATAAATCACAGCAATCACACATAGAAAAATGTTTACCGAAAACAATGTTTTTTAATATCAGATATTGCTAGATTTTGAACAGTACATCGAAAGTTCGTCGCCTTCTAACAAATGCATAAAACATTTTTTTCTTCGAGTAGAAAGAAACATCCGGGATTTCGTCTGGATACACGAAACTCGTCAATATTCCGTGCGAAGCTTAAAAATCTGCGTACAAATATGTATATGTATTGACGCAACGTCTGAACGTCAGGAAACAATGGAGGCTCAAGCCGCGCATTAAAACAAAACCCAAACCATCTACTTCGACGGTTTTCATCGGTAGAAACAAACCAAAAGGAAAAAAGAATTTCATTCCAACAGTAAAAGGATATGAGAAAAAGAAATTCTTCTAATCGGACAGCATTCGTAATGTTCTGCGCGGTGTTGCATCAATCGGAATGTCCTATTCACTCTCATTCGCGATTATGTTTCCCGCCGCTCCACGGAAATGTTCATTCTTGCGCGAATAATGATTCTGGACAAATAAAAAATAGTAACTATGATATTCAAGGCGGGTAACGAACCGCAGGTAGTAGAATAATCGAAAATCTAAGTTGATCATTGTATGTGTATGTGTCTTGATCTAATAAATATCCTAAGCCATTTGTTACCATAAATTAATAACTATCACACCTTCTCGTATTCTATGTAATTTTTGCTGCTCGATAATGATTGTTTTGAAGTAAAGAAGTGTATAAAGAATAATTGATTAAATTGATGGGGGAGAGGTTCATATGTAGGAGACACGTTTAGAGAAGGCTGTCATCGAGCGTCCCTGTTTCTGAAGAACAGGCCTCGAACAGACTACTCACGTAGCCTGTGAGCACTCGTGTACGATTTGTAGAACGAAGTAGAATGATCGACGTGGCACGGGTGAAAGGAAGAACAAAAGGGTGCGGCGCGGCGCGGCGGTTTGAGCAGCGTAGCGTTAAGGAGTATCGGGCGAGTGCTAAGCACGCCACTCGGAAGCTGTTAACCGCAAAGCGGCTCGGGAATCGTTGATTTCTTTCTCGGGGCTGAGTCGCGGCCGGGCGCATCGGCGGTAACGGGAACAATAGCGAATCGAGCGAGTACTTTACATGTCGGCTGGCGGCTAACGAACGGCGAAATGTAATGAAAAAACGGCGCTGAGCAGTCGACGGAGATCGACGGTCACGCGTCACCGGCTCGAGTTAACGAGGGAATGCTGATTCCCCTTGCGGAATTTCACCCGAAAACGTCCGGACACTAAGTGCTTTCTCTCTCGTTTATCGTACAATAGAGTAAGAGAATTTAATTAAGGAAATCTGATGCTGTTTTGAATTACAGGGACGGAACCTTCGAAATGAGAAAATCGTAAAAGAGAGAGCCGGGAGGAAATATAATAAATAAGCGGATTTATTCTCTCTCACTTACTTACTTTTGTCTGTCTGTGCAGAATACTTATTAAATTTCGAAATAATTATGAATTATGAATATTAATTAAGCACTCAGTCAGAGTAAAGAAGCA